CCCAAACCCCCAAACCAACTCGGCTCTCACTTGAATCCAAACTGGAAACTACCCCAAACCTTAATCTCAGTGCAATATATTCCTTAGCCCTAACCTAGCTCTAAACCCAGTCCAAACCCGAAGCGCTTATGCTTCATCAAGCCACTAATTCTAACCCCAACATAAAGTCCCTCACCATCACCGAAACCCGAAACCGAGGCTTTAAATCAAACCCAAAACCTGAAAAACGAGCCTTCGCAGAAACTTAACAGCCGAACACGATCTCCTCAGCCAAACCTTAAGCCGACTCCAAACCCAATCCACTCCTCCTTCCCCATTTCACAAAGCCCCAAACATGACCAAAAAAGCCCAAACTTCACGCGAGGCTCAAATTCGAACCCAATTTTGGAGCTCGCTTCCAACCTCAAACCCGAAACCCCAAATCTAAAACATAAATGCTAACGCTACAGTACCGCTACGAAAATCGCAACGGTGCTCCCCCCCCCCAGCCCCCCACCACCCTCATAAATCAAAAGTCAACTTTTCAGTCCTAATATGTCTTCTTGCACTCTCGGAAGATGAAATCCTCTTGATTCTATTTTGGGCCTTTGAGGACGGACGCCGTCCTTGACGGGAAGCTAAAAATTTTGAAAGAGATGGGGGGGGGGAGGCTTGAGTAAAAAGTCTTTTGCCGCTTTTGTGCCCGGGAGGGGTCGCTGCCTTACCTCCACCGTTCTTGTAGCAGAGGTAAGGGAAGCGCCAGACGTTCCCTAAACCGACAAATCCTCCGGCCACCGACAAAACAAAGTCCAGCTTGCTGGCCCACTTCTCTCGCTGGGGGTGTTTGCCCTCGGCCTCGTCTTCCGGGCGGGTTCCGGGACTCTTGCCGGGGGATGGCTTCAGCGTGTCCTTGTGGAAGTCCTTCAGACACTGGAGCTTTTCCTTCTGCGCCATTCTTAACACACAAATACAAAAAAAAAAATGATTACAATAAACACGACACAATGATGAAAAATGAGCTTGAGCCACGTCGTCGTCATCGTCGTCGTAAATTTAGAAGGCCAACGCCAGCGCAACTATTTTTACTTTCGCGTCCCAAAATAGCTTCATACATGTGTCACAGACAGCATCAATGGTTTTGACAAGATGGAGTTTTTGTGTTTCGGGGAAAAATAGCCAAATTAGTCCACAAGTTAAATATAGTAAGTTCGAGGGAGAATGCTTTCAAGACAAAAAAAAAAAAAAAGTCTCTACGTTGCAAAATGAAAGTTGAATCTTTTGGAGGAAAAAAGTCATAAAATTACACCGTTAAAGCCGTATTTTATTTAATAATTACTGGATGAGAGGAATATTTTGTAAACATAAAAAAAATCTTGTAACATTACAACATTGGTTATTTTTTTTGTATTCTTATTAAATTAAGAAATTTACAAGATAAAAATGTAGGAAGAAAATGTAATTTTACAAGATTAGGTGTGTATCATGTTCTAAGAACAAATATCGCAAAATGAAAAAGTAATTTTATTTTCTTTTTACCTTTGAAGTCATAATGTAACCATTTTTTAAAAAAAGTTGTATTCAGTTTCAAGAAAAAAGTTCCCAAATTTAAAAAAAAAAAGCAGAATTTAAAAATAGTCATACAATGAAAGAATAAAAGCTGTTGGGCATTTTTTAGATCACCTACACATGTAACAGTATGAGATTAAAGATCTATTTTTTTATTCAAGAAAAAAATGTCATAAAATTAGAAAAGAATATTTTTGGAAAAGAATTTAAATTGAATGAAAACAGACGCTTTGATTGGAGATGATTAATTGCTGTCGGCTGTAACCGCTCCCACAGCGGCGCAGCCCTCCCTCTGAGCAACATCGGGCCAAAGCCGCCTTGGCACAGTTACGCGGTGCGCAGGATTTACGCCACAAAATACAGCGAGTTACAGTTACCAAATTAAAGTCATGTTCTAGGCGAAATACATTCGTTGTACTTTTTTTAACAGTAACATACAGTAGCATCACATCAAATGCATTTTTTTCAAGAAAACATTTGTATTACGATACCAAAAAAAAAAGAAATTGCCAACTCCAGGAGATGATGTGAAATGTTTACCAATCTGCTTCACTGATATCTTTCTTGTAAATATGGAATGCTCAAAGTTTCACACTAAAAAGACGGCAGAAGTAAAACGTTTTGTCTTTACGTTGGTTTGACTTTGCTTCCCCAAAATTGAAAAAAAATCTCTCACAGCGAGCATCAAAGTATTTTGCTTTTTCCAAAGGGCTTTTTATTACACGAGCGTGATGCGATTCTGACATCACATCACTTGCTCTTCATGAAAGGCGGCTACTGCTATGTGTGTTAAGTAGATATCTGATTCTCAAAAGTCTACACACCCCTTTCCAGATGTCTTCTACATCCTGTACAACTCAATTGATTTCTAAAAATCTTTTCAAGAAGAGAAGAAAATGTAAAAAAAAAAAACAGAGATAATGCGGTTGCACAAGTGTGCACACCCTTAGAATTGGCGACGTGGCTGTCTTCCGAATGCACAAATCACAATGAAACTCATCTTAACTCCTTCAACTGCCATGTAGGCACATTTGTCAGCAACCAACACTTTGGATTTGACGTCAGCACAGCTTTTGAGTAGAAGACAGGGATTGGGCGGTAAATCTCATCTTGTCACGTTGATTATGAGGGAGAGAAATGCCAAGTTTATGCACCTCGCAATCAATACGGATATGAATGGCGAACAGCATGAAGAAAAGCCGTGCAGTGTGTCAGAGTTACTCGCAGCGTGTTTCTTTGTTGTACATCTGTAAATAAATGATTGTTCTGCCATAAAAATAATCTCAGTTTTGTTTTTGTTCATTTACAGTTGGGGGTGTCAGAAAAGCAAACGACAGTAGTGACAAGGTCACAGTTTCGTCTGCCATAATTTATTCTCACCAAAATTTTCATTTTAGGGAAACCAACCAGCACACCCAAGCCCAAATTAAATTTGGCTGTTCTAGTAGGCTTTTCTTGGATGTCGTTGTTGGAATGTGTATGACGGGGAGCGTTGAGGGCAGGAGACGAGCTGTTGAAATGGTTTGTAATGGGTCTCGGGTGCCCCAAGTCAAGTTAATGATACACGAGCGTGACCTGCTTCTCGACGGTTAAATTGTAACCGAGCCGTGCGTATGTGCTCAAACAATGGAGGGCCATTATGTCAGCTGCCGCTGGTGGTTGATGACAAGCCACGATGATGGCAAGGGGACGCCAGGAGGAACTTTCGCAAATCCAAAACCACTTTGACTTTGAGGTGGGGTGGGGGGACAGTTGTGCGATTTTATCAATACAGGTTAAAAGAAAAACTGAAAATATTGAGATTAAAGTAAACAAAGATTTTTTTTTTAATTTTCCAGATAGTACGTATAAAAACAATCTCAAAAAGGCAAAAGTGGCATTTTATGAAGGAAGAAAGTCATAAAATTACAAAGCCTTTTTTTTTTTAAGAAAAGTGCAATATTAAGAGATTAATTGGGAAATGGCGATAAAAGATGTATTTCTTGAAATGAAAAAGTCCTAACGTTACAAGATCGTCATATTCAACAAAAGATATATGATTACGATCAAAGAGATGAGTTTTTTCTAAAAGAAAATAACCCGTTTGTGTGTTTTAAGATCCTCTCAGCATGATCTTTTTTTAAGAAAAACATACAATGTACATCATCGTGCATCCACGTATGTACTGTACATGAATATGTACATATATATTTCATTGTGTATTCAGTACTCTATATTCCATGTTATGATTTTTTTATTAATTTATTATAGTTGCACTGAACAACCCCCACACAACCGTGAGAGCCAGCCGCAGGAAGTGTGTGTGTGTGTGTGCGTGTGTGTGTGTGTGTGCGTGCATGTGTGTGTTTTACGCGCGCGCGCGCACACACACAAACACTAAGCTCTTATATAATACACTCCACTATTTTTAAGCATGTTTAGTTCCACTGGGCTGAACGACTACACAATCATCATCATCATCATCCTCCTCCCTCTTCTTGTTCTCAGTTGTCTTTTGTGATTCCAGCTTTGATGACGTGTGATGTGAGCATTGCCACGAGCGAGACGCTGATTTTAAGGTGCCCTAACGACCACCACCAATTAGGATGAACAATATCGTGCTCCCGCGGCCACATTGATGATTTTTAAGCAATCATTATTTCTGTTCGTATAAGTTAAAACTCTTTTTTTTAAACTACTGTACTTCTGCAAGTCTGGAAAAAAAATGACAACATGCATTCGGTTGGAGTACCGCCTTGTGCCACAACATGGCGGTGGCAGCACTGAGCTGAATTGGAAGACGTGCAGCATATTTAACTCCTTCACTGCTGTGGATGTTCCTATTGCTCAAAGAAGATTTCAAATTTTCAATGGTCAGCGGGACGGGCATCTCGACCAGCCTGTCTGTGAAATTCAGGTCGGCAAACAACTCTAGCGGCTGAGAGCTCCCTGTAGATGGTGACCTTGCATTGCTTTACACTTAAGATCAGCACATCTTTTGAATAGAAGATCCAGATTAGGCAGTCAATCTTGTTTTGACACATCGATTTTTTTTTTATTCTTGTACTCTACAATGACTCCATATTTAAAAAAAAAATGTTTTTACTAATCCTAAAACTAATAAAAACGCAACTAAAACGGAGCACTTTTGAAAAAAAAAACTACACGAATGAAATGAATGAAACGGAATTTGAATAAACTAAACAAAACAAAAGCAACCATTATTAAAAAAAAAAAAAACCTCAACTGTTGGCTGCTAGCTGTGTGCGGACCTGCATGGAGTCCAGGACAAGCCCGCGGTGTAAATCACATTTGTTCCGTGTGCTTGGTCGCGTGTTGCTTGCTCAGGTATCGCAGCTGCCACACATGCACATACGCACGCACACGCGCGGACACTTTTGCGTGCTTCATGGTTACGCAAGCTGACATTTCATAATGGAAAGCGGCAGGCATCAAAACCAATCGCGGTCTGCACACAGGAAGGAGGAGAGGATAGAGGGAAGGAAAGAAGGAAGGAGGGAAGGAAAGATGAAATGGTGTATAATATTACAAGATCAAAGTATTTTTTCCAAGAAAATAAATGGTAAAATCACAAGAATAAATCATATTTTGTCATTTTCTTCAAATTCTAATCTATTAAAAATTTGCTTTTTTCCAAATAACAGTTTCACATTTAACAAGTTATATTTCTCCTGTTTTTTTTTTTTTTTTTAATAACAGATCAGTCTAAAAATGTGTAAAAAGATGAGTTCTATTTACTGAAAACAATTTCGGTCAGATGACAAGATAAGAGTCATACTTTCTGCTCATCTTGTCTACAAGAACAACCATGTACTTAATTTTTGATATTGATATTTTTGATGTGAAAAAAGTCTGAAGGCCCTTATTTCCTCCAGACAGGGCAAAAGTGGCCTTGATGAGAAAGCATCGCTTTTTCCTCAGCGGGACATTGTCATCCGCATAGCAGTGGAAGAAAATATCACGTTTTCTTTAGATGGAATGCAGGGGCAGAAAATACAATGAAAATAGTCGAGGCCCCAAAATTGAGCCCTGTGGAACACCATACAATATTGGAGTAGAGCACGACTCCAACCAAGGTTAACAAAAATTCTGTCTGCCAAACAGGAACGAAATCACTCGAGAGCGCTACCACTGATGCCCACCCGATGCTGCAGACGCTGTATCGAATGCTGCAGTCTGATCCATCGGAACAAGGCACACATAGTCTCCAGTGTCATCAATCTGGAGGGTGTCACTTTCAAATGTTGGGGGACCACAGTAGAAGATAGACAGGTTGATATTGGCCAAAATTGATTGACCTCCACTTGGGAGATGGAAAGTAAAGGAGAGGAGAGCGCCGTGCTGAGAAGGGGGACTGGGTGATGGCTTTTCACCGTAGAACAATAGTAATGGGAACAAAAGTCAACTAGCTCCGTTTTACATCTGCCCACTTGCAAAAAGAAAATGAAAAAAGCACAGAAAAAGAAAGAAATAAAGAAAGAATAAAACAACAAAACATTTTTCAGTCAAAGTTTAAAATGTCCGACTGCATTTGAATGTACCTCAGATCTCGGAGGCATCACGAGACAACAATGTTTCTTCTCCTTAATAACCTGTGGTTGATTAGCATCCTAAATTAGCGATTGAATATGAGTTTCGGATAGCGTTGTGTTGATGTTGGTAGCACGTGTGCAATGTAAACTAAAACTGTTGAGAAGGCAAATCAAGGTGGCCGGCACAGTACCACACTAGCCAACTTCAAAATAAAAGCCTCCGAAACCTAGATTGTAATGGCATCAACGTATTATTTGCTAAGCGTTTATTTTGAAGCCTCTGTATTGGCAACATGTTACGTTGGGAGCGTGTTTGCAGCTTCCTTGACATTTCTAAAAGACGTCCGACATGCCAAATAAACAGTTCCTGAAGGCAGAAAAAAAAATTCCTCTTATCATTTTGTGTTTTAATTTGAGGCATCTAAGGTGCAAGAAAGAAAAAGAACAAGAAGGTACTGTGGACTCATGTTAAATCCCAAAAAGATGCGCTGCAGGCTAAAAGTGATAAGAGCTGGTACTCCGTACTGCTGCGTACCGGCCCATTTACAGCTATGAATATAATGCAGTCATATAGACACAAAGACTTTCACAACAACTTTCAGTGCATTGCAGTATGAGTCACTTTGGGCACAAAACGTATTGTATTACTGTCTGTCTACACATGTTGCACCATCATTTGTGTTCCAACATTCATCAATTCAACTGGAGGTGCCCAAGTGCAGACCTGAGAGCCCTTATCCAGCCACTTTTAAATGTCTCCCTCCTTCTCCACCTGATCCAAATAAGCATGCATGTACGTAAGTATATATAACAGGTGATTCAAATGATCAGCCGTGTTGGAGGAGGGAAATATCTAAAACTGGCTGAATATAGCCTCTGGCGGGAAGGACATGCACGCCCCTGACTTTAAGGGTTACAACACCACAAGTATAGATGCTATTCTTAAGCCTGTTTATGGCATTTAACATCTCATGTTAGCATCATGGCAGCGGACGTTCGGTGATGTGATTAGTTAGAAATATACATAGTGTGAGGGAGAGAGCGAGAAAGGCT